GTTCAAGTTCGAGGATTGCGGACCACTGCAGCGCAATTTCAACAGGATAGAACAGCTAGAGGCTCGAATACTTTCGGGTGGGCAAAGTCTATTGGCGTATCGAGTTGCTTGCTCCGTGTACGGTGAACTAACCTGAGAGCAACTTATTGCTCCCAGGAGCAGACGGTGTTCTGTAGCGGTGCACGGCGAACGCGAATGCACAAAACCACGCATCTCGGAGCAATGGTCTCCCGTAATAGACTATGCATAGACTATACATATACTAGTAATTGGCAGCGGTTGTCGTTGTTACGAACACGGTGTTCTTCTCCCACTACTAACTACCATTTGCTCTTGACGGTGCTCTTGGCTTCGCCTCGGAGCAACCGAGTGCGCTCTCGTCTCCTACAGAGCCGTAAGCAGCGAGTTAAACCCGCTGCACGGTGGGCCCTTGATAACACACTCGTCTTCAAATTAGTTAACGCAATGCGAAACCGTGCAAATCAGATCTCGCTGTATCCTGATCGATGCGAATCCGGAGACTTCGATTGATCATTCGTTTAACCTGTAATTCAATGTGGAAATACCTTATGAATTTAGGGCGAACACCACCCCGAGGCGTGAAGAAATAGGTACATAATAGTAATTTAGATTCTCCAAGAAAATATGCATATAAATTTCCGCTTTGTTTTCCAATTTCTATCTACATTGTAGAACACTCTATTGCAGAATATCCCAATTTCAATTATATTCACTAATTAAGAGAAATATAAGAACAATATGTGTTTCTTCATAAATGTTAATCGTAAGAAATAGAATTTCAAATAGTTATTTCCAGTATGTCATCTGGAAATATTATTTCAATTAATAATTTTCTTTAGCACGACATAAATAACATTTTCCTATGTACTTGTCTCTATCACGTCAAATAAATCTTCATTATTAACCATTTCGAATACTTCTTCAAACACATATTTTTACTCATGACTGACACCATTTATATGAACGATTTGATTATGTGAACTATATTGCCTCTCGAGAGATATATCTTCATATAAATGAAGATCTACCTAAGATAAAAGTACCTATTCTGGAACGTTTTTCAGTGGGTATAAGATCTACCTAAGATAAAAGCACCTATTTTGGAACGCTTTTCAGTGTGGGTACAAGATTATCATCGATTTTTTTACAACTGAAACTATTACTGAATATTTACACCAGTGTTCGAGAGATTTCTAGATAACACAATTAACTTAGAAATATTTGTACAATACAAAAAAATAATAATACGAATGAAATAGTAAAGTACGAGAGTGTTCCTATCACGGAGCACCATTTCCGTGCCACGTTTCATAAATCGGGACAAGGGAAAAATTGAAGTACGCCATATGGAACAGTACTTATATTCTTGCTTAGAAACAACTATATTCCTGTAAACATTTTTCTTACAGTTGTTCGTTGCGTAACATTATTCGTGCGACTGAATTTATAGAGAACAATATTAAAACATGTGGATAAAATTTGTCCATTCACCTTCATACACTCTGTCCTAGTCTTCATTGTATTATTTGTGCTACTGTTTCAAGAAGAGATCACAATTGAGCGATTATAGCTGTTCTCATAATAGTTAGTTTCACGTTACTCGTGAAACAGGGTCTTTTACAGTTCTTGTGTGATCCCTGGGCCCGTGGTGCGCCGACCAGCTGTTTGGCAGAGTCGGGAATTTGGTGTCTGGGAAGGTAATGTCCGAAATACCGTGTTACCGGAACGTGTGCTTACCCGCATCGTAGCCTGGAACTTTGATTCCTCGTGTATTATTGAAAGCGGGGGACGTCGGTAAACACATGGGAACGGGCTAATGGGGGAGAAGTCAGGGACCCGTCGGAGAACGGGCGGGACACCCCGACACGGCACGGCTGCGCAAAGTAGAAACGTTGTCATTTCCGAATTCGATTCGCTTTCGAAACGTCAGCCATAGTCTTGGCAGTAGTTCGACCACGCCGCGCCGGATACGAAAACGGATAGGGCCAGAGGGTTTCACGGTGAGGATCTAGAAATCGAGCGTCGTCGGCGGTGCTCTAACTGTGTTATCGATCTACTGGCAGCCACCTTTACTTGGAGGGTTCAAGCGACCGAGTACCCGTCTCTGTGTCCCCTCGTGCCGCCGTCCTAACTTAACCTATCGAGATTATTAAACGGAGCTTTGGCAAGATCGGCCCAGTCGAACCGCCAATTTCGGCTGGAGCCACTTTCATCCTACTGTACCCGGCTGGGTCTGCCTTTGCCTCCGTTACCCGTGACTGCCTCCTATTGGACTTTGTTGGACCAGCGACGTATGAATGCCTCATGGGTATAGCCATGTCCGCGCATGCATGAACGTATCCTCTGTCGAGCACCACAAGCTAGACCGTCAGTCAGTCTGGTGTATCTAACAAATAATTTGACATTTGCGCCAGTTGATATTTCTTGGTCGTGTTTCTGCGTGCGGCGATCTACGGTAACGGATAAAAGAAAGAACTTGCCAAAGCGCACACCGTGGTTGCAAATATTCTCGACATCGACGTCTCATCAGGAGAAATGCCTCGCAAAGGCGAACACGTGAAGTGCCTGTTTTGTCCGTACGTTCGGTTAGTCGCCTAACGTACATGCGCGACCGAACTATTGTACGCTCGATTCGCGCTTCCTACGGCAAATTAATGACGTGGAAGGGTGTCTAGTAGTCTTAGAGAACTTTATTTTTTGTGTTGTACTCTCTGCGAGCGCTGCTGGAAGAATGCTCTTCCAACGCTGGAAAGTCGTGGAAGAGCACCCGTGGATGGAGGTAGATTGTTTATTATTGGTCAAGGCACGAATCACCCCTTGGAGGGGGGTGTCTGCCTTGACCCTTGTTGGGGCCTGAGAGGGTTTCCCCAATGGTGGGACCTTTTTATGGCCCTTGTCTCTGGACGCAACAGTGCCCTCGTCGGTCACACGTGGGTGACACTAACGTTCGACTAGCTTTCGAAGTTCGTTTCTATTGTAATGTAGGGTAGCGGAGCCAGTTACTGTGCGGTGACCAATTGCTGTGCCTTTCGTATGTATAATTAACTTTATATTTATCCATTCGTTTGAATGCAAACGAACTGTAGTAGCAAATTAATACAGGCCAGAAAAACTAGTGAATGTAATGTAATTTTGTAACACATCAAATGTGTCACGCTCCGGCGGCTGATCTCTAAATTGACAGTGTTATGACTTAGAACACATAGCGGCGTTCACTTCGGTCTAACATATTGTTGCGAATTACTGCATTTCTCTCGTGTCGCGGCATTTTATTTACAATAAAGTACATATATATAAACTATAATACAACTCAATTCAATTGTGTTAGAGATCTTTGATTTAGATGGTGTTGATCGCTCGACGGTCCGATCCCGACTCTTCGATTGTCCGTTGATAACACACCTTGGTATATTTTTCTTTAAGGAGTTGCTCACAACAGGGCAGTTTCACATTACAGCGACTTGATTTGGACAATATTATAACAATATTATAACTATAGCGTAAACTATAGTGTAACTTTATTCTTGATTACTCCAAACTTACATGTATACAAAATATGTGTAACTGGGGCAGGCTGTACCTCCTAAACTGTTGGAAATAGGATAAACTGTTACAGATGAAAGTTAAATCGGATATGCATCGGTGCATCAGAAAAATGCAACAGCCTCATTTTTTAAAACGGAAATCTACGTTTTCGACCGCACCGATTGTTGCAGTTTTCTGTGCTCTACAATAGAAAGCATTACATACATAGGCACACTGAACACAGATATTGATGTTTGCGTACTAAGGCAACAAACGGCTTGGATAAATGATCCAAATGGCAATGAACATTTAGAAATCTAGATACGAGTCTTCCGCAGCTCAGAAGGCGTCTCGAATGTTTAATGGTTACGACTGTTCTTTATAGCCTATTAATCGTCGATAACGAATATACTCGTCAGTCGACTTTCTCTTCGATTAATTCTTGGGTTTCTTATTTGTCTGTATAGAGATCAGTTTGACAGTTAATGTATGGGATAGGTTACTTTCCGTTCTATTTCACAGTCGTTTGTATTAGATTCGCATGGTTTCGATTACAATTTGTTAAATATGTGTGTCTACATCGAAATGTGTGTCGATAAGAATACGCGATGCTATCAGAGAAATAAACGTCAGGAAATTTCTTGAAATACGATCAATCATGATTATTGCACTTAAACGTTTATTTAATTTTTTCTAAATTTGATATACTTGAATCGAGTTCTCAGAGATTAATTATTAGGTTATGTAATATGAAATTCTTATCCCTAACAAATACCAAGGAATTCTTTTGCTACGATTCTTATAGAGAAATTTGTTATTGAAACCGGTACATATTATTCACGTAAATGGTAAATGGTGCATATTTTTATTAATAAAATATTCCTTTAATTTAAGAAAGAAATAATTTCTTTAAACTTTCTCTTTGAATAATCTGAGATTTCATACTATACACGACCTAATAAAATCGCACACCCTGTACATAGTAATATGCGGCTCAAACATCGCTCATACAGATGAATTGAATACGTTTCTAACTTATGCACTTAGGTATTCGTAAAAATAAAAGTAGCAACAATTGCGACGGTGCAGGAGATACCCAAAATTTGATTGCTAAATTATGTCCTGGAAACGCAAATAAGATGCTAGTAGCTCGTTAAACTCTCTCAACGAAACTGGATAAGATAATTGAAATATTCGAATGAAAGTAAACAAACAAATGAAGACTGTAACTTTCTCTAGCATAAATATATAGAAAACATTTCTTAAACTTCTACGAGCCGCATTTGCTTTCTCTTTCAATTATCATTTCTTATTTATATGTCATATGAAGCTATCATGTTTTTAGTTATAAAAAGGTATTACGTTCATTTTGTGTCATTTTAATATTAGTAGTAGTATTAAATGTTTATATAAAATTCCATTATTTCTAAAACACTTTCGGTTTATTTTTACAGAGTACTCTATTGAAAGTAAGTCCATTTTTCTTTTTCTTTATCGTTCGTGCATTTATTTCTGTCATAACTTCTTGTTCAAGCATGTGTGCTCATCGGACCGCGAGAATGTGTTTCGTAATTACGCGCTAATGTATGTATTACATGGACGACAAATCTCCAAATTAATTTCCGCTTCGATCGATTAATTTCCATCCGTCATTACTGTAATATTAATGTTGTTTCGTGTTTGTTATATTATTAACTTATTAACTCGATTGAACTTATGCATTATGAGCTAATATGTGTACCACCGAACCACGGAATTTGTTTACGTGTATCGTGGCCCATCATGAAAGCTCCACGCGTATCTCGCAAAGTTTAATTACATTATCAAATTCTGGCTACAATGCTGCCCGTAAACACATATATGCGGAATCAAGTAGTAGCAGACTTATAGCATTCTTTTACCGGGATACACATGCATACTATAGTATCTACCATAGTTCCCGAGGTATAGAAATTATTTTCTCGATTGAATATTATTAATCAAGGGCTATGCAAAAATTAAATGATCGTTCTACGGCGCTTTTAACATCGTCGTCTTACGGTGCAACGTGCTCGAAATGTAATCGTCCAGATCCGGTGATTGTCATTGTGTATTATTAATGTTATTTTACTACGTTATTGTGTGTTTTTGTTTAACCCGAGAAAGATAACCTACGTCGCAGAGGCGCCTGCGAAGACTGTTGATTTTTGTTAATTTTTCATAGAGGTCTAGTGATTTAAGTTTAAAATTACTTAAAATATAAAAAAATATAATATAAATGCATTTTATTTTTACAATAATGCCAAACCTTTAAAATGACTAGATTAACTTAAATAAATATCCATTGTTAGTATAAAATTGACGCCTTAGAAAAGCATGCGCCTCTGAAGCGTATGGTTATCT